CTCTCTCTCTCTCTCTCTCTGGCACAGGGTCTCACTAGGCAGCTCAGACTCGCAGTGCTCCTCCTGTTCTCAGCCTCCCCAGTGCTGGGATTACAGGTTTGCGCCCCTATGCCCGCCCAGACTCTGGCCTCCTCAGCCCACCCTGGGGGCAGGGCCAGCATGATATGTGGTGCTGGGGATCGAACCTTGGTCTCTGTGCTTGCCTAAGCAGGCGCTTATTCTGCTGAGCTATCTTGCTGGTCCCAATGTTCTAACTTTTGTGAATTATAGCATTTAGTTTTGCAAGAGATCTTTTAAATCTCATTTGATAAGAAAAAAACATTTCCCAGCAAAATGAGGACAATTTCTTAAGGTAAAATAGCTCTTTTGAAAACTTTCTGATCTACCTCTGGACAAGAGGGATTACACCTGTAATCCCTGCACACAGGAGGCTGAGGCAGGCAGATGTAGTGTTGAGGCCAGCCCAGGCTCCATAGTAGGCTTGAGGCCAGCTTGGAGCACAGCAAGACACTGTCCCATACCTGTCCTTCTTTGTGTACATATCTGTATTCTCAGGGGTCTTGTACCAGCACCCAGGAAGCCTTGTGGCACTTTATATTGCTTGGGGCTGATTAATAAGTGCTTGTGCCACTTCTTTTGCACAGTCCCTGGTGATGCCTGATACTACCCGAAGCTCAGACGTGATGTCTCCACCACAGGCTCTGGTGCAGCGTGCTCCCCACTGCAGACTCCAGGAACAGACTTGGCGTCGCCCAAGCCTTGTGCCTGCCAAGTCCATTCCCGTCAGGGAGTAATAAAGGAAAACAATGTGCATTTTAACTTTAATGTCCAAAGAACACTTCTGGATCGTTGAATTTTGGACAGCATTTCATCCGTGGGCTGCAAATTATTCTAATTACAACAAATTTACCTCATAAAAAAGAACACCTGCTTTTTTAGGGCAACATGAGCTAAGCAATCATGAATTGAATACAATTAAATTTTGCTTGCATTTCAAAGTAGTTAGGAAAGAATAAAAAGCAAGCAAGAAGTTGTGTTTGGCATGAGAGAAAGCACTGAATGGTTAGGGCACCTTGCGGAAGGAAAATAGAACTTTATATCTCGTGCATTGCGTGTGTGCGTGACAGGGAAAACAAAGAAATGATTCATGACGGACGCTCCCACCCTCAATGCTTCCTTCTAGAAGTGCTCAATTAAGTAGTCAAGAACAGATTCGGATCACATATGAGTAAAATTTCCAGATAGCCAAGATTTACAGCCTCAAGATACAGCACATCTTCTTGTACTCTGAGTAACCAATTTAAAGCAATGGATTAACCACTGTTGCCCTATTACTTTGTTTTGAAACTTTGGTTTTTTTTTTCTCTTTAGAATTGAAAAAAAGTGCAGCATGTCTATCTCCTCGTTCACTGTAAATACCAACTCTATGCAAGCCAGCCACAGGCACCATGCTATTCCTGGGCCACAGCAGAGGACTCGAGCCGCGCCCTTTGGAGTGTTGCCACGTGGGAGGATGTTTAGGGTTTAGACGGGCAACGCCCTGCCTCATGGGCCTCAAGGGCATGCACACACATATGGGAACACCCACATGCATGTACACACATGCACACATGCATGCACACACACACACACACACACACACACACACACACAGTGCTACCAACAATACAAAAATACAGAAAACCTGTCCTGTTGTCAAACATGCATCTCTCTTAAGATCAAGTTAAAAACTGCACTGACTCCTTCCTCTATTGCAAGGTTCCTGTCACTGCTAGGTAGGCGGCTGAAAGGGCCCAGTTCACCCACCAAATCTGCTTTTCGGTATGCTCTCCAAATACAGTGAGGCCGAGCTGCTGAAAGGCTTCCTCTCTGGGTTTTCTTTCGCATGGTACAGCGGGAGCTTTCAGTAGCTGTCTTTTCCACGGCAGTCATGGAGCAATCAAGGGCAGTGCTCGCTCTCCGGAGAAACCCTCTCGCTTTCTCCCATGGGTCTTTGCAGCTGCTCAAGCTGACCAAGAGTCAGCGAGTCCACTTCACCGGTGTCTTTCCGTGGAAGGACACAGTGAATAGAAAGCATCTGGGCTTTTTTTGAACCGCGGATTGAACTCAGGCCCTTGCGCTTGCCAGGGAAGCGCTTATTCCACTGAGCCTTCTCCCAGGCCTGCATCTGGGCTTTTGCTTTCTAGAAACTAAACACCCACAGTGTGTGTTCCCATTCGTGTGCTGCGCTTACGTAGCTGAATCGCTTATATACAGCGTGTGCTACACTAACTAAGGCTTACCTCCTCGAACTTATCATTTTCCAAAGTCTTGTTGTAAAAAAAAAAAAAAAAAGTCTCATCATGTAGTCCAGGCCAGCCTTGGATTTTCTATGAGCTACAGGTTGGGCTCAAATTCATGACCCTCCTGCCTGACCCCCTACAGCTGGGCCCACACCCTGTACCACCCCGCCCAGCCTGGAGGACTTCTTAAACCTGGACGTGCAAGCACATGACTTGCATATTATTAGACTGTCCTTCTGAGTTTCGTATCCCGCAGGTCCAGGTTGGAGCCCTGAACCGCGCAGTTCTACCCGTGCTGCTGGTGCAGCTGGTCCACACCAGCTGAGGAGCGGCAGCAAGCAGACAAAGGAGCAAGGACAGCTGCTTCTGCAAACACTTGTAAGACCAAAATTGATGAAGTAGATGGCTACTCAATTCTCCAGGGGTGGTTTTGAATATGGAGGACATGCCAGATAAAATAAGCACCTGGCACAAGACAGTTCAGCAGTGATAGAACCTGTAACCAAAGAAGCAAGAGCCACAGTCCGTAGCCGCTGGTTCTGTGTCACTGAGTCCGCCTCGGGCCGACAGTGTGAACGGTTCGCTGCGACAGGGCGGGCGTGCAGTGTGGTGCCGACTGACGACGCTCAACGCCAGCAATGTGGAAGTTTACTTCAGAACTTTGCAATAATGGTGATGGCAAAGGAAAAGCAATAATCTCATCCGGTTAAATTAGGTTCTGAGACGTGAATGAAGAAGCTTTTGCAGCAGTGAAGCTTTGGCTTGATGAAGGCATGAGGGCAAGTGGGAGGGCAAAAGGGAGGCAAGAGGCTAGCTCTGACTGGACGCTCCTCCAGGGCACTGCGCTTTATGAGTCGCTGGCTGCATGCCACGCCATTGGGAGGACTTCAGGGCCACGCGGGCTGCCCACCCGCAGTCTGCCTCCGTGGGAGGAGCCGAGCAGATGCATGGCAGAGCACTCTGGATTGCCCTGCTCTCACCTGCAACCTTCACAGACAACCCCCGGAAAGAAGCAAGGGGTTCTTGCTGTCGGCCTGTGCCCTTCTCTCCTTATTCTCTGAAGTCCAGATTTGAAAGGCAAACATCATAACCTAGCTCATCTTCCTCTTTACCTCTCTGCTCTACCTAACTCTTCTCGGACAATTATAGATGCTTCACTCACCAAGGCAGTGGGTGGGCAGGGAACTCCAGCAAGCAAGAGGGACAGACACAGTTTCAAGCTAATTTCTCATGCCAAAACCAAGCCTGACTGAAGGTTTGATTCCAGCTCCGACCGAGTCCCAAATATTTATTATTCCAGCTAGATTCGGCAGCCAAGGGTTGCAAGCTATCTAGGAAAAAGCCATTAAATTAATAATGCCTTTTGCTTTTCATTTCCTAGGACAGGAAAGTCAAAAAGTCATTATTTCATCTTGCAAGAACAGTCCCCTGAAAGGTTCAGCAATACGGTGAAGCAATTTTAACACCACATTCATCCTGAGCTACCAAACCCTTGCCACTGTTTGCATCCTTTTCACCCAACTCCAACACTTCTCAGCTCTTATTTTTGGTCCAATTCATATTTTAACAACCTGAATATCACTATTCTTGAAGGTCTTCCTCTCCACTTCTGCCATTTCCAACATTTTCTCAGGCCTTTAACCCATTTTAACTGTGTCCACCTCTCTGCCTTCTACCAAAACATAACTTGCACTTAGCTCCTTTTTCAGCTTGGGATGAACAGAACAGACAAGCCCACCCAGCCAGAACCCGTATGCATTAATAATATTGATGACGTGCATTCTGAACAACTCTGAAACTTCCTCTCAGTTGGTATCTCGGCAGCATGCTGTGCTTCTACACCGACATTCATAAAAAGTCTGACGACACGTGGTATTGTACCACATCTGCTTGTCTTTTGCAACCTCTAAAATACACTCATTGTGCTGGGCATGGCAGCAAACGTGGAATCCCAGCGCTCGGGAACTAAGGCAGGAGAACTGGGAGTTCATCCACTGGGCTACAGAGTAAGTTCAAGGTCAGCCTGAATTACAGAAGAAGACCCTGTGTGAAACACACACACACACACACACACACACACACACACACACACACACGATTTCCTCAACCTTGGCATCACATTACAATCACTTGAGGGCTTTAGAGCTATTGCTCCTGAGGTCCAAGTAAGGCAGAATGTCTTCAGTGGGATCCAGGTGTGAGTGCATTTTATGTGTCAGGATCTAACCTAAAGTTTTGCTCATACGGTGCTTTGTCCTAGTTACTTTTGTCATCACTGAGGCAAAACGCCCAATACCCAAACTTAAAGGAGGAAAGGTTTATTGTGCTCATGCCTTGAGGAGGGTTCGCTCCACCAGCAGCTGGCCCCGGGACAGGGCGGCACATGGCGGAGGGCAGCATGGGGGAGGGCCAGTGCTTGGTGAGCAGAAGGCGGCCAAAGCAAGCAAGCAGGCCAGGGCCCTCGGCAGCTCCTGCCCAGGCTTTATGCTACACCCAGGCTGCTGGGAGTAGGTTGTGGCACCGGCTCAGTGGTCACCCTCCTTGATCCCAGCACCACACACCCCAGGCCCAGCCACCTCCAAACCCATCAGTGACTACATGAGGTGTTAGGGACATTCACACACAGCCATATCATGCTTCAAGATTTTTTAAAAGATTATTTAGCTTTTTCCTAAGAAAACAAACAAACACTATTTTAGAAATGGGACACTGGCACAGACAGAGGGACCCCGGCCGGGCCACGCAGCATGAGATCTGGCGTCTCCAGGACACTGTTGCTGGTCCAGTTGCTCTGCCCCTCCTTTCAGCTGAATCGCCCAGCCTGCCGGGAAGGAACTCTTGCTTGCTCAAAGTCAAGGTTTTTGCTGGTTGCAGATCAATTTCTCGCTCTTCTCCAGTGGCACAGAAGGCCACAAGGGCTGAGCCGCCAAGTAACTGTTATACGCTGTCAAAATTGACTCAAAATTGACTCCATTTTGTTGCCCTTCTAACCTCACCGAGTTCCTGTTCTGTATGCGCCTACCCCTCCCAACCCCTCACCCCCTTATGACCCAAGTCTTATGATATCTGTTCCCCAAACCTTATCTCAATGAACCAATGACTCTGCCACTTCTTCCTCTCCACCCCTTCCCTGTTCTTGTGGTTTTCAAGCTTAAATACTGCACCTTGTTAATGCTCGGCGCACCTCTTTGCACCTTGCCTAGAGATTGCCGCTGGGTACTAGCTAAAATAAAGCACTTCTTTTTAACTTTTGGACTTGCCTCGTTGTCATCTGATTTTTGAGCTACAACAGTAACCTTCAAATGTGGCTTCCTCTGCTCTGGGGGTGGCATGTGGCCTGTTGTTTTCAGGCCTCTAATACCTTTTGACATCACATTTAATACAAGTAATGGGGTTCTTTCAGATTCACTTGATAAAGGGGCCAGAGTTTCCCAGGGCGCCCCGGGTGGCCAGGCCTCTCTTAGCCCAGCACTGTCTTTTAGTGTGAGTTCATCATCCCCCCACACACACCCCAGCCTCCCTGTAGGTCAGAGGAATGCAGAGTCAAGCGCATGCTGCCTCCAAAGATGTGGGGACTAGAGACAGCGGACAGCTGAGGACTTTGGAAACCGGGAAGTGTGATTCAAATGGCAACGCCCCGTGTCCCTGCAACCATTTCTGGCTGACCAGGTTTGCCTGTGTTCTTCTGGTCACCACCAACTTCTGTGCCTGAGTGGAGTGCAGAAAGAGAAGGAGAGGACTCCCCCCAGCGAGTGCAGCAACACGGAGCCAGCACGAACAGAGGATCTGAGATGCCAGCGAGAATCTGGGGGCGGGACAGAGGGCTTTCGCTCTGTAGGTTTTGATTTATATACAGTGCATTAGCAAGCTTCCGGCTTAGTCCCACGCACTATTTAGGGCTGCAGTGGCTGGCTTTTCACTGAAATTGAATTCTCTAAAATCCAGAAGGAGCTTCTGCTGCCTCGTAAGCCAAAATAGATTCAGTCTTTATCCCTATCGTATTCTCCAGGGAAATTTCAGCCGCTTGGCGCAGCCCCAGGGACCTGCGCCTGCCACGCTGCGCAGCTCTCCGGAAGAGGCCTCCCACTTGCTCTGGGAAAACACTATAAATGATCTTTTCAGACATCTATGCTCACAAGGTCTTTATTCTCTAGATAATTTTCAGAAGTGTTTCATAAACAAATCATAAATATTAAACTTTCATGTCTGAGATTACTCACAGGTTAAAAAAAAATGGTTCCCTCATATCCAGCCATGAATGCTGTAAATACATTTCACAAGTAGCTCAGGAATCAGTGAGCAGAGGGGATGCTGCGCACAGGAAGCGGTGCTAGCTGCGGCAAGAGAGCCGGGTTCTGCCCCGCGCCTGTCGTGGCTGCCTTCTGCTCTGTTCTTCCCTGGTGCTTATGAAATTGGCCAAGCTATATCATTTTATTTTTATGCTACTTTGGAGTGAATAGTTATAATCAATGAAAACTTCCCTTCCAAAAGAAAGCATAGGGGCTGGGAGATGGCTCAGTAGAATAAGCGTTTGCCTAGCAAGCACAAGGGCCTGAGTTCAATCCCCGGTTCCACCAAAAAAAAAAAAAAAATCAAATCCCTCTGTTTGGGGCTGGTGAGATGGCTCAGTGGTCTAAAGCACCTACTTAGAACAAGCTAAGCTAAGGGACCGCGGTTCAATCCCCCAGCACCACATGCCAGCTAGCCTCGCCTCCCTGGTGGGCTGAGCTGGCCACACATACACTAAAAAAATAAATAAATAAACAAATAAATAAAATAAAAAAAAAAAAAAAAGAAAGCATAGCGCATTCCGGTATATGTAGGTAACACCCGCTGAATACTTATAAGCTATCTACTAATTCGAAGGGCATGGAATTTCAGTTTTCACAAGCTGACTGTAATTTAACATCATGGACCCCAGTAAGAGGTGGTGGTCTACAGCCTAGTCTCATTCACAGGGAGGCTGAGGCAGGAAAATCATCACAAGTGTGAGACTAAATTAGACAGAGTACTGACACCCTATCTCAAAATAAAAAAATAAGAGCTGAGCATACAATTCCGTGGTGGAACCCTTGCTGAGTGTGGACCAGGCCCTGGGTAAACCACTTTTTTGGGGAAAAAAAAAATACATCCTTCAGGGTATGGTGGTGCACATCCATAATCCCAGGACCCAAGAGGCAGAAGTAGGAGGATCACTGGGAGTTCGAGGCCGGCCTGGACTACATAGTGAGAGCCTGTCTCAAAAGACTAAAAAATAAAAAATAAATCACCAGTCTACTGTCTAAGGTCATACCTTATTCTTTTTCTTTTTTTCAGAATCTAATGAAGTTTATTTCTGAAATGAAAGAATGCTTACATACCTCATTCTTGACAATCACTTATCAAATACCTGATAGCTTTTTTTATTTTTATGAATACCTTGTGAAACTTGAGGCTTCTGGGCCGATGTCAGAGAAGCTGAGCTCAGTCATTTTGTTCCCGCGTCCTGCCAGCCCTTGCTCTATATGGCAATTAAGTAATAGCTTTTGGTGCTACGGCTCTTTCAAGTGTTCAAAACTAGTTTCTTTCAGGGGCTAGTGGGCGTGAGTGCCTGTGACCCTGACCCTGGAAGGCTGAAAGTTCAAACCCAACCCGGGCAGCAGGGACTTTGCGGGAGCCTGTCTGAAAATTAGAAATAAAAGGATGAAGGGATGCAGCTTGTGCACAGGTCTTTGGGTAAACTCCACTACTAAAGGAGCCCCAAGACGGTGGCCACCAGGAAGAAGGTGGCTGCAGAACACGCCAATGTCATTTTTTTTCAGACCCGGGGATTGAACTCAGGCCCGGGAAGCCCTTATTCTACTGAGCCCTCTCCCCGGCCCCGCCAATGTCATTTTTGAAGATCAACAAAAGATAAACAAATTTGTGTGGAATATGAGTGGACTCACAGAGCTTAAGGAAGAAATAGAGCTGAAAAAGAAGCAGCTCCGGAATTTAGAAGCTGCGTGCCGACATCGCGCTCACAGACAACTGCTTAAATGACACCACATCGGCGACGTGTTCGTTAGCCATTCTCAAGAAGAAGCACAGGAAATGCTCGAGGAAGAAAAGGAAAATTTGCAAGAAGAAATCGACGCCTTAGAGTCCGGAGTCGAATCCATTCAGCAGCTGTTAGCAGATTTGAAAGTTCAATTAGATGCAGAAATTTGGCAGCAATATAAACCTTGAAGCTGATTAAAGTTAAACATGTTATAACTCATTTTTTAATTTGTTTAATAAACTTGAATATTGTTTAAAATGATAATTTCCCTCCAAATGACATGGAAAAGAAAAGTTTCTTTTTTTTAAATTTTCATTTGTTTAATGGAAACTTGCCTATTTTCACATCTTTGCATATTTTATATTTTTAAAAGAAGTCAGTATTCAGCTATGTATTTTGCATAATGATTATGTCAATTTTAGGGGCTTGATATCATGTTATTAAAACAGTTAAGCAAACAAAACTCCACTACCGTAGTTAGCAAAAATCCCTTTATGAATCAATTCATTGATTGTATAGTTTTTGAGGTTAAGATATAAATTAAATTAGAATGGATCAGCTTTAGGGCATTGTAAAGGGTTAACAGAGTTTTGTGTTTTAACTATAAAAAAATTTTAAAAACCCCTTGTGTTTTTTGTTATCTACTCTAAGAAATATATATATATATATATATATGAAATATAGATATAGATATAGATATAGATATAGATATAGATATAGATATAAATTTTGGCTCAAGGCTGTTTAACAATAAATAACTGTTTTTTGTCAAGGCAGCAAGCTAACACAAACTCCCTCCCCAACCATCTCCTGTAACATAGTGTCAGCTTAAGATATATCTTGTAAAAATATATATTTGTCACTAAGCTGTAAAAGACCTTTTAGTCATAAACAGTTTGCAGCTGTGT